TCAAATTGGGGTCTGCGGACCCCTGGGGGTCCGCAAGTCATATCTGAAATTTCATTAAAATATTTATAGAATATAACATATTTTTCGTAAAATTAAATTTATGTGAATCAAAACATTTAATTTTTGAATACAGCTTTCAATGTACACAGAATTTGTCTTTTCTTTTTACAAAAGGAAAAAATATGATAGGTTTGGGGGTCCGTAAAAAAATTTAAATTAAAAGGAGTACTCGGGTTACTAAAGTTTTAGAGTCGCTAGTTTAGATGAAATTGGAGGTTTGCGAAACACTAGGAGCTGGGGGCAATGGAGTATGTATGTTGTAACAGTGGTCTACGTTGAATACGGGAAGCGGAATGAAGTTGTTAGTGTTGGTATCTTTAGATAAACAGTAACTGATTGTAAAGAATCATTAACTTCTGGTCGTTGAGCATCTAAGTAAAAAGTAATGTAGACTCTAAAATCGAAATTTGAAAAAGTTGGCACTTGTTATACAGCTTGAGAATAATTACCTATACCCATCCATTCGCGTAGTTTGAAGTTATACAATATGAATTTATCTAGTTTTAAAGGTTATCATGCCCCAAGAAGTAAGGACCAGCTGTTCATACATTATTCATTCCTGATGTATACGTTTTGAAAGAACTCGCATTATGGGGTTATTTATCCTGTGTGATATTGAATAGCAAGATTGAATTAATATATTTTCTATTTGGAAGGATTGGATACATATATTTATTGTAAAAAATTTGTTTCATGTATTTATTTTTAATATGAACGTTATTTAGATTAAGTTTCTATTTAAAAAATATGTGTAACTTATAGTGTTGGATATGTATTGCGTGTAACGAGTTTGTTATATATTTATTTTAATGACAACGTTGTTTGGATTGAGTTTATATTTAAAAACGTGCCTAGCTTTCAGTGTTAGTTACGTACTGCAAAACACCCGCCAATTCTCCAAGGTTATAGAATATTCGTGAACGTAAGAATCAACAATATATCCACTTCCCGTAACCGGTTAAATATAGCTCAGAATTGTTGTTTGAATTTTCGAGAAAAACCTTTCTCGCGCCTATAAAAACAGCCAAGGCGACGCGCCAAAAAAAAAGAGAGAGCGTAAAAAGTTGGGTAGGAACCTGCTATAACCGTGTACGCTATAAATCGTGATTTTACTAACCCTTATCAAGCGGAAAATTTACGACATTTGACCAGGAACAGTAATAAATTTCGAACGTCAGTGGATTCTCATCGGACGTTAGTATTTTTCCAAAAGTATTACTGGATTCTCATCGGACATTAGT